TAGAAAAATTTTATTTTATGTTGTTCCTAGTCTTAAAAGTAATTTCTTGGTTTATATGAGCTAGCATGGCTGTAACTACTCTGTAGAATTCCAGATAGAAGAATAAGGCTGACTTTGAATATAGTAACATTTGTATACTTTTAAACATGAGGAGCATGTTCATGGTAAGTCTTCTTATATTCATTGGAAAAGGCCTTTGAGGATGACCAGGCCTGAAACTGCTCCTGTGGACCTTAACAGAGTAATCAGTAGAACAGCCAGTAAGAGTAAACCTTAATTTTTAAAAGCTGCTATTTTAAAACTGGAGTTAAGTATCCCTAAGGTTCATTACTGGGGACCTGGAAATTAAATTTTGCCTAGATGATCATTTTCTTGTTTTGTACTTTGGTATCTTTGTTGACAAGTTATTTTGTTTTAGTGAGGGAGAAAAATCTAGATAGCTCCCTCTTTTTCTGTTTAAGGAAACAACTGAGAATTGAGTTGAGTAATATAAAATTAAGGTAGATCTCCAATTTTGAAATTACAAAATTGCCTTAAAAATTCTCTTTTTAGTCAGGCGTGGTGGCACATGCTTTTAATTCCTGTACTCGGGAGGCAGAGGCAGACAAATCTCTGAGTTCAAGGCCAGCCTGGTCTACATAGTAAGTTCCAGGCCAGCAGGGGCTACAGGGAGACCCTGTCTTTTCTTTTTGGGGGGCTGGAGAGATGGCTCAGGTTAAAAACAAAACTGGCTGTTCGTACAGAGTCCTGGGTTTGATTCACAGCATCCACATGGCAACTAACAACCGTCCGTAACTCCAGTTCTAGGGGATCTGACACTCTCTGCTGACTTCTGTGGGCATTGCACGGCATGGGTGCATTTACATACATACAGGCAATACACTCATACACACAAAATAAAAAAAATAAAGTATTTTTAAAATTAAAAAAAATCTTTTTTATTTCTCACATGGGATCAAGTAATTAATAATAAGTACTCAAAATACTAATCTTGTTTAGTTTAGTACTTCAGTTAGTATTTAACATCACTGCAAAGTAAGCCATACCTTAAAGCATATTGAATTTCAGTTTGGGGGTCCTGGGTCATAAAGTCTTAAAATAGTAGACCTACTTAGAATTAGAGCTCATATGTTTAGAGTCAGGTTTAGGTTATCCACCTCATTTGAAGGGAAACCCTTTTGCATTTTATATTGAACGTGTGTCTTACATCTTTGAAATGTAGAGCACTGTTAAAGTCACAAAGAAATTTAAATCAAAATGAGCCAAAAAGGAAATGTGCTTGCAGAGAAGAAAGCTTTCATGTCTTAAGGCCCCAAACCAGTAACACCAGTACTGACATACTGGGCAATTGCTGGTTGCTCTGACCTTCTATTTTTTTGGCTTGTTGTCTTATATGATTTTTTTTTTTTAATGAGTTCTTTTTGTATGAGAAGCATATCCAGATGTTAAATTAGGGTATAGGGCAGACTTGCAGTCTCTCTCTTGCATCTTTGTCTTCATCTTGGTGGGCATGATGAATGAGTACACCACTGCCCTAAGGAGTCAGTGGGAAACCTGTGTCCTCCTACCTCTTCTGACCCTCCGTTAGCTCGGGTTGAGATAATGGAAGCGTGGCTGGAATATCAAGTCTCCCACATCATCTGTAAGTAAATACTAGTGAATGAAAGGTGCCTTTCAAGTGAGTGTTCTAAAAGAAAGGGAATGGCTTCCTGTGATGTGGATTCAGCTTTCACAAAACAACTTTCAGTATTTTGAGAATTGCTATATTAATTCTTATAATAAAGAACATAGTAAATTGCTACGTTTTGTATTCTAAAATGGAAATAGAATATTTTTAAATGTCTGACCATGCCAGAATAGTAAAGTTGAGATATTTAAAATTATAGATGAAAGTACTTTGGCTGTGTTTTATAAACATTCATGAACTTAATTTTCATTGACGTGTTGTGGAGTTCTTTTTCAATGAGTATATTTATATTGTCAAATATGATAGAACAAAAGGAATAAAAATTATCTTGAGGCCAGATTGCCCCATGTATATATATTGGCTCTTAACTGTTTCTGATGGTGTTTACGTTTATAAATGATGGCACATGTATTAGTTACCTTTGTTGTTTCTGTGATTGAATACCTGACAAGAAGTAACTTAATGGGGAAAGGGTTTGATTTCTATTTCAAGGGGATATTGTGGCAGGGAGCACATGGCAGCAAGAGTGAGGCAGCTGGTCACACTGTGCCCAGCCAGAAGCAGACTGGACAGGAAGTGGGGCCAAGTTAAGAAACCTCAAGACCTTTCCCCAGTGACCCATCTCCTCCCTGTGGGGGAACATTTCACATTCAAACCATAACAGCACACAAACATTTTTCTTACTTTGAATATTATTTTGTGGTACTGAGGAACCCAGGGCCTTGCAGATGCTTATACTGGACCACTGAGCTACATCCCCAGGCCTTACTTTGCATATTAGTGGTATGGTTTAACTGTTATTATGTCAAAGATATACATGGGGGGGGGCTGTAACTGGAACCTTAAATTGGAGACATTTTAATGAAAATACTTTATTCACGTGTGTGTGTGTGTCTGTGTCTGTGTGTGATTGTGAGGGGGCCAGGGGGTACTAGAGATGGAATCCAGTGCCTCACCCATGTTAGACAACTGTTTTACCAAGGAACTCTACCTTCAGTCCCAATTTTTTTATAAATTTAGCCTATGGCCAGGTGTGGTGATGCATGCCTTTAATCCCAGCACTTGGGAGGCAGAGGCAGGTGGCTGTCTGCGAGATCAAGGCCAGCCTGGAGCAAGTTCCAGGCCAGCTGGGGCTACAAGGAGACCCTATCTTTAAAAAAAAAAAAAAAAAAAAAAAAAAAAGGAATACTGTGCTAGTAAAATTAAAATTATTAAAAAACTGCATGTTTTGGTGAGGTTATGTCTTTAGCCTTTATACAGACACATAATAGACAGGCAGCTTGTAGATTTTATAGTCTGTTTCTTTAATTAGGTTATTAGAGCAGCTGTACAGACCTGTGACAGATTTTCCTAGTGTTACTCTGCTTTTCCTTTTCAGTTGGTGTGTGACTAGTTTTGGCCAATGAGATGTGGAGAGAGTGGTACATCTGATATGCAGGGCTAACACTAAAGCTCCTTGCCAAGACTGAGCATGTTCTGGTCTTCCATTTGGTTATAAACAAGGACTTTTGTGGGGTGGAAGCAGCTTGGGCACCGGAGTTACTGCCAGAGGAAGACCACCCAGAAAGCAAAGACTGCTCACCAAAATTTCAGATTTGTTACTATAACATAGTGTTACAGAATGTGAAAAGAAAACTATACATCTCCTTAAAATTTAAAAAAATACTAAGAGGGAGTGACCAGTTGATAAGGCTTTAGCAAGGCCAGGTTGCCAATTTAGGGCCAATTAGACACTTTAAGGGATTTATGGCTTTCCTTAATGAGGCCTGTGGCTCTTCCTAGGAAAAGTCACACAACAGAAGCCCACATAGTTTCTTTCCTGGCTGACTCTACTGCTTACAACTGTCTTTGGCAAAAGTTCCACATTCCTGGCTTCTCCCAGCATCCTGCTCTCTCCATTGCACTTTCTGTTTCATGACCACAACTTCACGTCACCTTCTCAAGAAATGCCTATGGGGATTCTGACCCTACTCTTAAGTATTGCCTGGCCTGGCCTGTTAGACGTTCCTTTGAAATCTGAGTGAAGGCTTCTGTAATCTAACAATTCTTGCATTCTGTATACCTGTAAAACATCTCAGCAAGTCTGGCTCAAGGGAGTCTTTGAGATGAGAGTATATTTTTAAACACTTGAGCCTGCAGTGTGTGGGAGTCACTGATTCCTGAATGGCCTCAAGGCGTCTTTCCTTTGGTCTTGTTGGTAAGTACTTGGCTTGTTTTTAATGTAGCTAGCCTCTTCAGCAATCTTTCTGGGTCCCAATTTTCAGTGTGCTGCTTTGAGGGGAAAACTGAAAGCTTTTAAACATCCTTATCTGTTTTTTGCTTCTGATTTTCACTGCATATCTGGCTAAAACCAGCCAGTAATATACTGTCCTAGTTTGTTCTTCATTGCTGTGCCAAAACACTCTGACCACTACCAACTTGGGGAGGAAAGGGTTTATTTATCTTATATCTCCCAGGTCACAGTTCATCAGGGAGCCCAAGGTAGGAACTCAGGGCAGGAACCTGGAAGCAGGAGCTGGAGCACAGGCCATGGAGGAACACTGCTTACTGGCTTGCTCCCCTGGCCCCCCTGCTCAGCCTGCTTTCTTATCCAACATAGGCCCACCTGCCCAGGGGTGGCACCACCCACATCACTCATCAAGAAGATGCCCCTCAGACATGGCCACAGGCCAGTCCAATAGAGGCAATCCCTCAGTTGAGGCTTTCTCAACCCAGATGTGTCAAGTTGACACTAAAGCTATCCAGCACACATGCCATAGCCTGAATGCTGTCCTTCTTTGAAATTTCCTGTCAGATTAATTCATCACTTTTAAATGTAGCCTCTTACAAAATCTCATGAACAGATGTCTTAAGTTCTTTGCCAGAATGTGACATAACTGGCTTCTAGTCCAGCTTCCAGTAGAGCCCTCCTTTGCATGTGGAATGTCAGGAGCACAGTACTGCTTTCTGTATTCCTAGTCTTCTGAACTCCCACAAGAATGCCATTTAAATTATGCTTATAGCATTCTAGGGTTTCCCTAGTTGAATCTCTGAACTTTTCTGAATTGCTCCCATAAATAACTTCT